AATTCACATTCTCACCGCCTCTTGACCAGAATAGAAATTCCAGTCCCGGAGGGGCTCCTGGCCCCTGGGATGGGTCAGGGAAGGACTCGGTTCATGTGCTCGTGGACCAATCACTGTGGCTGGGGCTGAGGTGCTGTCATTGGCTGGGCTTGGGTCACATGCCAATCCCAAATCCTTGTGTCTGGGGCACAGGGCCTAGTACCAGCAGGGGACTCTGGGGGCAGCAGGGTAGAGGAAGAGAGCTGGGTGGCCGTCCCAGTTGTGAGTGCAACTGTTGCCTTGGCTGCATTTATGAGCCAAAGGTCAAAGCTGCCCTATTTTTGGAATAACAGGAAAAAGCAACTGCTTCAAGCTCTCAAAATGGTAACTTTCCACAGGAACGGCCTAGTCAGTAGATCCATTTGAAGACTTAAATGTACCCGAGTCTGAACCTCTGAGAGGCCACTGTCTTCTCATTGTGGACACACTTTTAAACCAGAATCCAGTCGCGGACACAGCAGATAGGTGGCCCACAGCCTTCACTGTGTCTCCTTTCTGGACGCTGCTCTTAAGAACAAGGCTCCTGACACTGAATTTAAAGGGAAGCAAACAAAACTCACGCTCTCATGATCCAGGGCAACTTTTCTGACCTCGTTTGTAGCAGAAAGTCCCATCAGGAAACACAAAGGTTCCTCTCTCACCCTGTCCAAAGTCTTCCAACCGGAAGGTTTAGAGTTCAACTGTGGTTTCATTGACAAAAACAACTCCCAGAAGAACACTGTAAAGTGAGGATCTTAAGACCTGCCAAGTGTATGGCCCACAGGAGCTCGGTCAACAGCATGACACTTTGTGACAGCCCCAGCAGTTGGAAGAAGAAACAGGCCCAGAGAGGGTCGCCCACTGGTCCAAGGCCACACGTCAGGGAAAGGGCAGCATGAGCTTCAACGTCTAGTTGCAGGGCCCCCGACCAGAGCGGGGAAGAGTCCTCAGGCCACTCAAGCGGGGGATGGGGGGGTGGGGAATGGAATCCACCAAGCCAAGCTGGAGCCACCTGAGACCTTGACCAAGCAGAGAACAAGTAGCGTGGGCAGAGGCGAGTCTGGGAGGGACGGAGGCCCCAGAGCTGAGACTTGATCCCAAGCAAAGCCTGGAAGCATCATCAGGTTTCCCCTGAGGTCTGGAGTCACTGCCCACCTTGCTCCCCCTGCCACTGGTACCCCAGATCCCTCAGTCCTGGGGAGCTGCCACCAAAGGGCAAACCCTCAGGTGCACTGATGCTGACCCTTCTGCCCCATCCTGAACAGGAGCTGGTCAAGGACCAGGAGTTCCTGCTGAGACCGGCAGCGTTTAGTCTGTGACGGCATGTCCCACCTCCGGGCTAGGGTGCCAAGCCAGTCACTAGTCTCTAAATTGTGAATTAAAATAAAATACTCGACCCCCCCCAGCTGACTGAATGGACCCCCTCTTGGCCAAAGGGACCCCAGAAATATCGTAAAGCTGAGTTGCTGACCATGAGAACAGAGGTCAGACACGCCTTGACTTGCCTCCTCCCTTCTTAGAGAGGTTCTTTGCGACTCATTACGAGGCCTAAGGCCACGCAAGGCAAAGCTTAAACCACCCTGCAGGTCCTCAATTTACTGTACAGATCACTTGAGTCTGTGTCCGGTATGTGTCCGGTGGCTTGTCTCTGATTCACAGACTTCCTTATCTTACTTAAAGCATTCCAAGCTTGTAGACAAAGCTCCGTTTCTTTAACCAATCACAAACGAAAGAATCTTCAAACCCACATATAACCTGTAATGCCCCACTTAGAGACGCCTGCCTTTTCTGGCCAAACCAATGTACGCCTTCCATGGATTGACCGATGACTTTTCGTGTAATTCCTGCCTCCCTGAAATGTATAAAGCGGGACTGTGACCCAGCCACGGGGGACCGCCTGCTCCAGGCTCCTGGGGCGTGGCTCCGGGCCGTGGTTGCACACACTCGGCTTGGAGTAAACCTCTTTATTTTTCAGATTTTGGCTTCTTTTCCATTGACAAAATGTTCCAACCTTCAAACCAAAACCAGTCCCACTCCCACCCCAACCCTGATCAGCTAAAGCCCAGCCTTTCTCTTGGGGATCCTGCCCCTATGTAATCGGGGGAGTGACCAGCATCCCCAGCCCCCGCAGTCACTCTGTACCAGAATATAAAGGATACGAAACATAGCAGCTCAAGCCCCACCCATGGCAGCGTTGATTCAAGCACAGGCTCTGGAGCCAGAGAGCCTTGATTCAAATCCTGACTCAGCCTCCTTCCAGCTGTGTGACCTTGGGCAGGTTACCTTACCTCTCTGTGCCTCAGTTTCCTCATCTCGAAAATGGAGATAATAGTAGCTCCTACCAGGTAGGTTCTTGGTGAGGACTAAATGAGCTAATATATGTGAAGTGCTGGGAGCATTGCCTGGACAAAGGTCAGCCCCTCCCTTCAATATGCTGCCAGGGAGTCCCAGCCACATGTCCTGGGTGTCACCTTTCACCTCTCCAGCTCCAGGGGCTCCCAGCCTCTCCCCAACCTAGCCATCTGGTCACTCCCACACCTTGTGCACCAGCTCCTGCTGGTCCCCAGCCGCCCAAACAGGGGCCCAGCCACCCCCCAGAGTCCCTGTTCCTGGCCCCAGGGAGCCTCTTCATCCACACTGTTGAGGTCTCAGAGCCACACAGTCAAAATGCCCAGCCAAGTCACCCCGAAAAATGAGAGAGTGGTTGGTTACAGGAAGTTTTGATAAGAAGCTCCTCCTGCTGTCCTGGGATGTGTAGGATGTCTGAGCGGCCACCAGGCCTGCCCTGTGGCCTCCATGGCCTCTGCCTGCACAGTGAGTCACTGTGGCCTAGGAGTCCAGCGACGCCCATGATGGTGGCCAGCAGGCTGCCTTCCCCCCACGCATCAGGGCACCCCGGGCACACTCCAAGCCCTCCCCAGTGCTCAGGGACAAGGCACACAGTGCATGGAGGGGGCTCGTAGGCCCACAGGCCATGGCTGCAGGCCATGGGCCCTTCCCAGCAGTGTCCCAGGACAGAGTTCTGAGACCCGCAGAGCAGCAGACCCTCAGGCTGCAGTCTGCCTTCAGGGCAATGGGAACCGCAGGGTTTCCCCTGGATAATGGGTGTGCTCCACTTTCCTCTTGGGGACCACCCAAAGGGCTCAGCTGTCCTTCTGTAGAAACCAAAGCCGCCAGTCAGCCCCCCGAATCCAATGTACATAAGACCCCCCCACGGAGCCTCTGCTGGTGTCTCAGTCAGGCCCAGGCTCCTCTGAGGGGCAGCTGGGCCCTGAGCCTGGGACTGCGGAGCCCAGAACATCATCTTGGTCCAACTACCGAGTTTCTCAGTGAACCTCTCTGGGCCTCAGTTTCCCTATTGCAAGGTGTTGAGTTCAGCGGTGCCCAAGGCCTCCTGAGCAGTCACAGGCTGATTCCTAAAAGTCCTCTTCATATCAGCTTTCCTGCTCAAAAGCCTGCAGCGGCTCCCCAGTGCTCTGGGAATCGGCCCCTTTGGCCAGCAAGGCCTCTGCCACGGATATCAGTGCCCCGGCCCACACAACCCCCAAAAGGGTCTCTGCCAGCCTCTGGCTCCTGCCCGTGCCCAGGTCATCTTGCCCATGAGGCTGGCCTCCTGCTCTCTCTGGCCCCCGACGCCCTCCCGTCCTCCTGTTCCGAGGCCCACCTGCAAAAAAACCTGGGACTCGCTCTGCGCGGGTTTGAATTCCAGCTCTGCCATTTAGGACCCGTGCGCCCTTGGACAAGTCAGCTCACCCGTCCGAGCTTCAGCTTCGTCCCAGAGGGGATTAGATGAGGTACTCGTCTAAGTTCCCAGAGGGGCCAGCGCGGGCGGGGGCGCCAGGCCCGTGAGCTCAGACAGGTTTCTGATGGGGACGCTCTTGTAAAACACCACTGGGTTGATGAGAGGGAGGAAGGCGGGGAGAGGCAATAGCAGGTGGGACAGAGTCAGCTCTGGCTGGTGCAGAGAAAGGGGTCAGCCACCTGCCCAGGTGCAGGGGACACAGAAATGAACCAGACCCGATCCCTGCCCTCA